AATGTAAAAATTGTATCCCTTAGAAAGAATAAACATTTAAGAAAAAGTTCTCATACCAAGTTACGGCTTTCTGACACCACTCCCTAAAGAACAGATTTTTACTAGAAATTATTTTACTTAAAATTGATTTTTACTTTAAAAATAAACAAAAAACAAAGGCAACTTCTGGAAATCATAAACCTCAACTTTACGCTGCTATTTAAAAGCCCTTAAAGGCCTTTTCAAGAAATATTACATTAAGATAATAACACATGTGGCCAGGCGCGGTGGCTCAAGCCTGTAATCCCAGCACTTTGGGAGGCCGAGGCGGGTGGATCACGAGGTCGAGAGATTGAGACCATCCTGGTCAACATGGTGAAACCCCGTCTCTACTAAAAATACAAAAAATTAGCTGGGCATGGTGGCGCATGCCTGTAATCCCAGCTACTGAGGAGGCTGAGGCAGGAGAATTGCCTGAACCCAGGAGGCGGAGGTTGCGGTGAGCCGAGATCGTGCCACTGCACTCCAGCCTGGGTAACAAGAGCGAAACTCCGTCTCAAAAAAAAAAAAAAAAAAAAAAAAAGATAATAACACACGTAAAGGGACGATGAAAATTAAATGTTTTCCCAAGATATCATGATGGTCAAAGTTATACATTCTTTCAAAGGTTATTAATAATTATCAATAGCCTCTATCAATCCTTATCTGACTCTACCTTTCTCTAGTTGTTGACATTAAAAGATTTCCTTATCTTCTGTGATATTAATCTCTCCTATCTCTCTTTCTACTTCCTGATATGCCTTATCTATATATCTTCAAGCTTCTTCTCTGAAACCCTCCTTATCCACTCCCAAGTAATTTCATTCATTCCATCACAGGTTTCACCTATCACTTAATGCTAATAACTCTCAAATCTACATCTCTAGATCTTTTCTGTAAGCTTCAGATCTATATTTCCAACAGTCAACCAAAATGTCCACTAAGATGTAACCCAGGTAATACAAGTTTAACTTGTTTAAAACCAGTCATCCTCTCCCCTTCTCATTCAAAAGTGAATGTTCTTGCTGTGTTCCTTATCTCAGTTAGTAACAGCCATACAAAGAAGACCATTTTTAACTCTTCTCCTTTTACATCTCTTTTATCATCTTGGTCACTAAGTTCTATCTGAAACTCCTGAAGTATATTCCCTCATCTGTATTTCCACTGCAACTGGTCTATCTATTTCATTTGATAATGAATGAGTTGGACTTCCTGCATACCTGTTGCACTTCCTGCCTTGAATCTCTCCCTATTCTAAATCAACAACTTCTTATGGCCTACAACAGTAACTTCCAAACTACAAACTTGATGTATAAAGATTACATATTTAAAGTAGAACATATAATATTTGTGTGTGTATATAACTGTATATATGTGTATATATACCTGTGTTAATATAGCTGTATGTATATAAATACATGTGCATATATAACTATATATAACTGTGTTTGTATATTATACAGTATGCAGACTCGTTTCTAGCAATACAAATGCATATAATACACACACACACAACACACACACACACCAGTTATATATAGTTACATACATTCTCAAAAGGTTCAAAACCACTGTCTGCAGAATAAAGTCCAAATTCTTCAGCTTTTGGAATTAAGAATGGTTTCTAGGGTTCACCACAGCTTGGTTCCAATTTATATCCTCAGCTTCACCTTCTACCAGCAGATACATCACAAACGTAATTCATTTTTCCCCCTATGCTTCTGCCAATCCCTGTCACCTTGAAACTGTTCTTCCTGGCTGGGTCCGGTAGCTCATGCCTGTAATCCCAGCACTTTGGGAGGCCAAGGCAGGTGGATCATGAGGTCAGGAGTTCAAGACCAGCTTGGTCAACATAGTGAAACCCCGTCTCTACTAAAAATACAAGAATTAGCTGGGTGTGGTGGTGTGTGCCTGTAATCCTAGCTACCAGGGAGGCTGAGGCAAGAGAATCCCTTGAACCCAGGGGGCAGAGGTTGCAATGAGCCGAGATCGCGCCACTGTATTCCAGCCTGGTGACACAGTAAGACGCCGTCTCAAAAAAAAAAAAAAAGGAAAGAAACTGTTCTTCCTTTTCCTACCTATCTAGTCTCTGTTAACCCCCTATCAAATAAAATTGAGCTGTTCTCCCTACTATTCTCTCCCAATACTCTGCTCAAATCTCCAGCACAGCCCCTAATATACTAGTATTAGACTAAAAGTCTGCCTCTTTGATAGCATGGGGGCAACTTGAGTCTTATTCATCTTAAAAGTCCCATCCTTTGTGTGCCACAGAGAGGTGTTTGGTAAATGTTTAACTGAATTGAAGATGCAGCTTCAAGGATGATCTACAATTAACAGTTTGCAAGAAACAGAAGAGTCTGTATATAAGAAGCCTTAGGAGGGAGAAACATATCTAAAAAAAATTCATCACCATGAAAATGTCTTTTCTTTCACTTTCAACAAACTGAATAAGCAATCCAGAGAGTGAAATGTGACACAGAGGCAGATAAGAATAAAAACTAAGAAAATGCCTTTTGTGAAAGAGTATTTGGTATATATAGCTGACAAAAGTTAACATAACTAAAAATAAGAATGCTCAAGAATAAAAATTAGAACTCAAAGCAAAAGAAAAATAGGCAAAGAAATGAACAATTAATTCATAGAAGAAAACTATAAAGACCAATAAACACATGAAAAATTCCTTAAATTCCTTCACAATCAGAAACTCACATTAAAATAATAATGTATTATTTTTCACCTATAATATTGGAATTTTTTTTTCAATTATAATATGCAAGAATGGCCAAAGGGTGGTAAAATGGTTATGCCCATGACATCCTTGGGGAAATGTAAATTAGTACAATATTTCTGTAGTCCACATCAGTATGATACTGTGTGGGACAGGTGGGGGATAAAAATATGTAGAGAAAAATCAAAAAAATGTTCATACCCCTTAACACAGTATTTTTACTTCTAAGAATTTATCCTGGGGGAAAAAGAGACATGCAAAAATTTATGCCAAAGGACATTTGTTCATAGCAACACCATTGAGGATGCCAAAAATGTGGAAATGTAAATGCTCACCAACAAGAAAGTGGTTAAAATAAAACACTTTTCTACAAAGGATATTATATAACAAATATTTTGAAAAACATTAATGATGTGACAAAAGGATCATTACGATATTAACAAAAAAAGAAAAAAACCTGAATAATACAATGTAATAATACAAACGTACGAAATAAAGAATGGAAGAAATAGAAATACACTAAATTATTAACTGTAGTTACTTCTGCACAGAATCACTTCAAGACATTAAGAACATATAATAGTTTTATAATTAAGAAAAATATATTGTTTTAAAGGTTATTTGATTAAAATGATGTTGCTGAATTTCAGAAAAAGGTTTATTAAAAAAAACATAGAAGCCAAATTACAGAGACTTTAAAAGAAATAAGTAGCAAGCAGAGGACTGATAAAGACCATTTGTTACAGAGTTCAATATCAAAGACAGAGAAACATCAGGAGTTACTTAACAGGACAAAGACAAATAACGCTTAATTTTTTAAGTTGTAGGAGACTTGACCATGTTTCAAATAAAAAAGGAAATGGAGATGACGAAATTTAGGACTCCAAAAAGAGAGATGATAATGAATGTAAATTAGACCTCTGCCTGTGATTAAAATACAAAGATAGTGGTGCAAAGGTCAGGAATGTGATACATACGTGGCCAGTTAGCTTTGTTCTAGTTCATGCCCACAGATCACACTCCAATCTGACAATTATTTTAAAAATATATTTATTGGTCACTGACATGGTTTGACTCTGGGGACCACTCAAATCTCATGTCAAACTGTAATCTCACTGTTGGAGGTGGGGCCTGGCGGAAGGTGACTGAATCATGCGGGCACACATCCCCCTTGTTGTTCTCATGACAGTGAGTTCTCATGAGATCTGGTTATTGTAAAAATATGTAGCACTTCCCCACTCTCCTCTCTCCTGCCAGTCATGTGCTGATGTGCTTGCTTCCCCTTTACCTTCTACCACCTTTGCCTCCCAGAAGCAGAAGCCTGTACAGCCTGAACAACTGTGAGCCAATTAAACCTGTTATCTTTATAAATCATCCAGTCTCAGGTATGTCTTTATAGCAGTGTGAGAACAGACTAATGCAGTCACTAATACAGACAGGAAGATAATGTATAAATAGATTAAAGTGAATTATTACTTCTATTAGAAAAAACTCAAAAACAGATGTTCTTTGGAAGGATCAATACTGCAGTCTTTCTATAAAAACAAGATTTGAACCACTAAATAAGTACCCAACATTTACTAAATGTAAGGTACTCTGTAAGAAAAAGTCCCTGCCAGATGGGGCGCAGTGCCTCATGCCTGTAATCCCAGCACTTTCGGAGGCCGAGGTGGGTAGATCACCTGAGGTCAGGAGTTTAAGATAAGCCTGGCCAACATAGTGAAACCCCGTCTCAACTAAAAATACAAAAATTAGCTGGGCATGGTGGCACCCATCTGTAATCTCATCTACTCAGGAGGGTGAGACAGAAGAATCACCTGAACCTGGAAGGGAGAGGTTGCAGTAAACCGAGATTGCACCACTGCACTCCAGCCTAGTGACAGAGATTCTGTCTCCAAAAAAAAAAAAAAGAGTCCCTGCCCTTTTAAATAACACATTTAACTAGAGAACCTAGATATGAAACAACCAACTAACAAACAAGCATAGTAAGTATCATGGAAAGGGAACCATCATGTAGTATATAAACATTATGACTTGTTTACTAGGGGAACTGCAAAGGCCTCCCTGAGAAAGTGTCATATAAGCTGAACATACAAATCAAAAATGAAATTTCACAAATGAACATGCAGTCTAGAGAAAAAGATTAGATATGTTGAGCATATGTTATTCTGCAGTTTTCAACACTTTATACTAAGAGAAAGAATGAATATAAACATTAACGTTGTGATTAAAGATAATTATGTATAGTACATACCTATACGAAGATCTCTTTGTAAAACATTCTTATCATAAACATAAAAAGACAAATACTGGAAAGTTCTTGGAATCTCAAAGTAAAATTCTTCACTGAAAAATGGACTAGAAAGGAAGGAAAGCTCATTACTTCAAATAATACAATTAAATAATAATTGATTAATATCACTTTCAATAATAGCATTAATACTCAATATCACTTTCAATAAAGTTAATAAAATTATAGACTAAAATGCCATTGAAAATAACTTGAAAAGCCCCAAAATAATTCTCAATGCTAAATTACAACTAAGTTCTAGACAAACCAAGCTGAACTCTGAGGGGATCTTAGTTGCCAGGATGAGTTCTGAACAAACAGCTTTTCAGGAGTCCTGTGGATAGAAGATACAGTAATTGCCTGGGGTCATACTCACCTAAAATGGACCTAAATGAGGGCTGAGTATAGTGTCATTCATACCTTCCTTGTCTTAGAAATGTGTAAACCTGTATTATTCACAATACATAATATCTAAAACAGCTAATGTTATGTGAAGGGTTACTTCAAAATATTTTTTTAAAATAAGCTATTTGAGGTGGCTCACGCCTGTAATCCCAGCACTTTGGGAGGCCGAGGCGGGGGGATCACGAGGTCAAGAGATGGAGCCCATCCTGGTCAACAAGGTGAAACCCCGTCTCTACTAAAAATACAAAAAATTAGATGGGCATGGTGGCACGTGCCTGTAATCCCAGCTACTCAGGAGGCTGAGGCAGGAGAATTGCCTGAACCCAGGAGGCGAAGGTTGCGGTGAGCCGAGATCGCGCCATTGCACTCCAGCCTGGGTAACAAGAGCAAAACTCTGTCTCAAAAAAATAAAAAATTAAAAAAAAGCAAAATAAAATAAAATAAGCTGACCGGGCACGGTGGCTCAAGCCTGTAATCCCAGCACTTTGGGAGGCCGAGGCGGGTGGATCACGAGGTCAAGAGATCGAGACCATCCTGGTCAACATGGTGAAACCCCGTCTCTACTAAAAATACAAAAAATTAGCTGGGCATGGTGGCACGTGCCTGTAATCCCAGCTACTCAGGAGGCTGAGGCAGGAGAATTGCCTGAACCCACGAGGCGGAGGTTGCGGTGAGCCGAGATCGCGCCATTGCACTCCAGCCTGGGTAACAAGAGCGAAACTCTGTCTCAAAAAAAAAATAAATAAATAAAATAAAATAAAATAAGCTATTTGAAAATCAATTTTATTGAAGTATAAGTTACAAACAATAAAAGTCCAATTTAAAGTACAGAGGTTGATGACTTCTGATAAATGTATACACTGTGTAGCTTCCACCCCAATTAAAATACAGGACATTTCTGTCTCCCCAGAAAGTTCTCTTAACATCCCTCTTCAGTTACCCCACCATAGCTGCCCCAACCAGTGATGTCCTTTCTATTACTAAAGATCCTAAAATCTACATAAATAGAATCATATAGTGTGCACTCACGTCCAGCTTTGTTCATTCAGCTTAATGTCTGCGAGACTTTTTCGATGTCTTTGTGTATACAGTAGTTTAAATGTTTTAATTGCTGCATATTACTTCAATGCATTCCAAATCCATTCTCCTATTAATGTTATTTGAGTTAGGCTATCAAAAGTAACACTGCTATAAACATTCTTATACAAAACATTCTCTAGACACATGCTTTCGATTACTGAGGGTGCAACTGCTGAGTTAAAAGGTAGGTGAATGTGTAAACTGTTTTTCAAAGCAGTTGTACTGTTTTAAACTCCTGACAGCAATGCTCCTGTTGTTCCACATCTTGGTACTGACAGTCTTTAACTTTAGCTATTCCGGTGACTGTAACATGATAAATTTACACACCTATGTAATCTCTACCTTAATCAAGATATAAAACATTTTTATCTCCCCAGAAAGTTCCCTTGTGACTCTGCAATCACGCCTATTATAATCTTACAGGCAATCAGTGATATGATTTCCATCAGATGGTTTTAAATTGCATTTCCCTGATGACTTAACAATGCTGAATACCTTTTCATGTGCTCTTGGTCATTCATGAATCTTTTCTGAAATATCTGTTTAAGTATCCCCCTATTTTAAATGGCCGCCTGTCTTCTTTTGAAGAAGTTACTAGGGTAACTTCAAAAGAAGACAGGTGGCCATTTAAAACAGGGGGAGGATACTTAACAGATAACCCAGTTACTAGGGTTTTTGTTTTTAAATAAATTCTGGCTACAAGTCTTCTGTCAGAATATTTTCTCCCACGTGTGGCTTGCCATTTAATTTTCTTGACAGTGTCTTTTAAAGAAAAGGAGCCTTTAAGTTTGATAAAATCTAATTTACCAATTTTCATCTTTTATGATTAGTAGTGCTTCTTGCATTCAAAGTAAGAAATCTTTGCCTATCCTCATGTTGCAAAGCTTATTTTTATAAGTTCATTTTAAGAATGCCATTTGATATATTTAAATTTTTCTATGAAGACGTGAATATCTCAAATGAGTTTCTTTTGTCAAGTGTACCTCTTTCCTGAGAAAATTTAAAGAACAAAAAGATTCTCTAGAAATGTCACTATGAAATGTAGTATCTTTAAGATGTCCTAACTAAATGAGAAGCTGAAATATAAAGTAAAACACTCTTACAGAAGTCATATCTGATCTTGTCTAGAAAACAGTTGGTTCAGCTTTTTAGTTGTTAAAATGCCTGAACTTTTGTCACTATATTTTTCCCTTCAAACGTAATCAAAGTAAACTTTTAAAAGTTGGTCTCACAAAGTAACTAGGGCCTTCTAATTAATTTCAACATAAAAATCAACGTGAAAAGAACTGTTAGTCAAAGATATGACACGAAAGACATGTGCAGGTATTTACCTCTTTACATTATTTTATAAACAACTGTAAATGCAGAATTTCCTTTATGTATCACATCTACATTCAAATATTATGTTGAAAGTACCTTCTAAAGCCAAATAAGAACGACATGAGAATTATGACTAAAGATTTCAAGTTTACCACTTGAAATGTTTTTCGGCTACTAAAGTATTTTCAGTTCTATATAATATATTTTCTATGAAGAACTCAACAGATATTTAAAATTATAAAAATGAAAATAAAGACATAAAGGGAAATTTTAAGATAAATATTTTAAAAATGGTATTTAAAAAAAGGCATCAAAAACAGATCCCTAAAATACAACTGATCTAAAATATGATTCAGATAAGGTATGGCACTCAGTAGTTCACTACATGCTCATTCCAGTAATTCCCCATACCTTGTTCTGACTTTTGTCTCTGAACAAGATTCTTGGCACAGCTTTGCAGCAGAACTATGTTCACATTGGTACAGTGCAGCGGTGGTATGTTGCAATTTTATGAATTAGGATTTACTATGACACTCTCAAAGGGCAATTACACTTTCAAAGATGAGATACTTACCTGAGCATTCCCTGGTAATGCACTATTAAATTAAGCAACTTGTATGAACTTTAAGTAACTTATTCTTTAGATAAATAAAATAGGCCGGGCACAGTGGCTCAAGCCTGTAATCCCAGCACTTTGGGAGGCCGAGGCGGGTGGATCACAAGGTCAAGAGATCGAGACCATCCTGGTCAACATGGTGAAACCCTGTCTCTACTAAAAATACAAAAAATTAGCTGGGCATGGTGGCACGTGCCTGTAATCCCAGCTACTCAGGAGGCTGAGGTAGGAGAATTGCCTGAACCCAGGAGGCGGAGGTTGCGGTGAGCCGAGATCGCGCCATTGCACTCCAGTCTGGGTAACAAGAGCGAAATTCCGTCTCAAAAAAAATAAAATAAAATAAAATAAAATAAAATAAAATAAAATAAAGATGTACTTTGAGGAAAGTTCAAACAAATAGGCAATATTTAGCCTGTCATGTGAAAAAAACTTTTCTCCAGAAAACCAAGGGATAAAATTAGGAACAATTAAGAGGAAGATACATTTTGAAGCAGTGAAAAGCCACAAGAAAGCAGGCACTGTGTCTATCTTGTCTTCCTGACGATTATAATGTGGAAAATGCATAATATTTATCAATCGATATATGTAGTAAAAATATAAAAATGATAATTTACCAATTTATTTACCAACCTTAAAGATTTTTCCACAACTTGGGTACGATAAACTTCTTCCTGGTCCAAATTTATAGTACAGAAACAATCTCTCATTTTGTGGGGTCCAAGATAGGGCAATAAATTTTTTGCTTCACCTGTTGGCACAAAATTTGAAAACTGGTATTAAATATCATCAACTGCTTCATATTAAGCCTAAGTAGGATGACTTCAATCTGAAAGAATATATTAATGTGGCACAGGAAAAAAAAAAAAAAAAAAAAAAAAAAACCACCAGTGATTAGAGAAAGATCAAGTTGATCTGAAGGAAACTCATAAGACTAAAGGGAGAGGCTGTGTGTAAAGTGACTTGTGAGTTCCCTTTTTTAATTAGGTAATTGCATCCCCATTCTTATGAAAGGGCAATCCGTCTATCTGTGCTCTCTATCCCTCCTACCAATACTTCCTCAAGGACTTTATTCCACAATTAATCTTTCTTTACTGAATCAGCATTAATTTTCCTCTGTAGTGAATAATTCCCATCAGCATACAAATAATGATGGGAATTTCTCAACTTAAAAAAAGCATACAAAAGGAAAATAAAAACTTAAAAGTATCACCTCTAGTCATTGTCTCTTCTTTCTTACCTTCCATTCATTCTTCAACCTTCTCCAATCAGTCTCTGACCCCACCATGAGACTGAAACTGCTCTAGCTGAGGACACTATTGCCTTCCACATTGCAAAATCCAATGGTCACTTCTCTGTTCTCATCATATCCAAGCAGGCAGCAAAATTTAACACAAATGAACATTAATATTCCTCTTCATAATGCTCTCTTCTTCTGGCTTCCACAACACAGTATTTCTGACTTTTCTCCTACATCACTGGCTCTCTGCTGACTTCTCCCCCTCCTCATCTCTAAACATATAATGCCTCAATTCCAGATCACCCTCTCTTCCGTCTCTTTGCCAACTGTGCTACATATGGCGTTAATACTGACGCCTCCCAGATCTGCAACTCCAGGTCTAACCTCTCCTCAACAAACACTAGATGTGACAGATGTGACTATTCAACTGTCACCTTGGATATCCAGTAGGCATTTCAAATTTAACAAGTCCCAGAAAAAACATTTGATTTCCTTCCCTAAAACATGCCCTTTCCCCGGTCTACCATTTTCCTCTTACTCTCACCATCCTCCCACTACTTCCCCCAACTCCCATACCCAGTCCTTCAACAAATCTAGCAGACCTCCAAAATAAATCTCAAATCCAACCACTTCTTGCCTTGGCTAGAATCACCCATTCTAAGCCACCATAATCCTTTATTTAGACAAACAGGAGAGTTGCCTAACTGGTACCCCTGCTTCCACTTTTGACCCTCCTACAATCCATTCTCCATCAGGCAGTGTGATACTAGAAACATATTCTTTAGGTTACTTACTTACTCCCCTCCTTCAATATCACACCATTTCACTTAGAATAAAATTATCTTTCCATACCACAGTCTAAATAGCCCTACTCAATGGTCTCTCAGATCTCTTCTCCTTCCATTCCCCTAACCCTGGGCAGGGTTTACTTTTTTTCATTCATCAATTTTTCATTCATCAAGCCACATCATGTTTTAAGTTTAGGGCTTAAACTACCATTTTTCTGGAATGCTACATTCCTACAGACAGATGCAGGCTTAGCCTAAATATCACTAACTCAGAGAAATCTTCCTTGACTATTATACCTAAAGCACATAGTTCTGCTACCATACTCTTATTTCTCCATTTTGTTTCTTTAACAGCATTGATAATTATCTAAACATCTAAACATTCACTGTTACTTCAGTGTTTATTTTTTGGTTCCCCCATTCTTGAGGCCTGAGAACTTACTGGTCTTCAAGATCTTAAACGGTGACTGTCATACAATAGACAGCTGAGAAATATTTGTTGAAGGAATATTAAATAACCCAAAAAGTCTAGTTTTGAAGTTCTTTGACCCTCAGAGCTCAAAGGACATACACAATTATGGGTGCTGAAATCAGTACACCAGTTCCCTTATGCAATCAGTTGGCATGTGGGAAAGAGCATTACCCCAAGAACCATAAAACCAATGTTCCTGTCTTACTCTGCTACTATGTGGCTATATGACTTCAGACAAATCACTCAAATCACTGAATCACAGCTTTCCTGATGAAGGTCTGGACTAGATAAACTCAAGTATTTTTCTGCTTATCAACTTTAAAGGTCATTTAAACCAACATATTTTAGAGAAGTCTATCAGAAATCTAAGAAGCACCTATAAAAAACTCAGTAAACAAATAATTTATAAAAATTAAAATAAGAAAACCAATGGAATAGTAACTTTTCCTCAATTCGGTAAGATACTTATTAAATCCGTCACTGAAAGATTTTTTAAAAAATAGTTACCACTTAAACAGAATCAACAAATTTATGTTCATCTCAAGTCAGAAATGAGGAATCTAACCTTTTAAATGATCCCCAAATTGCCTAAAACGGGTTGGTCCTTACAAATAAACCAGGTCCCTAATAAGAAAAATAAATCTGAACCTATATTCATCCACTTTCCTCCTCCTCCAAAGACCAGTTGTTCCTCTTCTCATCCAAAGCTCATCCACTTAACTGCGCTCTCTCTACTTCATTCCCTCTTACTCCCTCCAGGACACTGTCTAGCAATTGTCTTTTCATTACTTTCAACCTTCTTGTCCTTCAGCCACCCCTTTTTCTTTGACATCTCCCTTCTGCATAAATTTAGACTTTTTTTTCTAACCAAAAGGTCACCATATAGGACCTCAAATATAAAAAACTTGGAATTAGATCACAATACTTCTCTACTTAATAAATATGCTCCATAATAAATATGGTCTGTATCTAATGGGAGAATTTGAAACACTAAATAACTGCCCTTGAACATGTTTCTGTTTCATTCACATAAGTGCACTTTGCGAAAACAATATTATATAAATTTAAACATATTCTACTTCCCTCTCCCTCTTAAGACAATGAGGTTATTTTATTTGAAGGATCCAACGAATCTGACATTATCAGATATTTATTTAGAATAAAGAAAACTTAGGTTCTATGTAATATGAATAAATGTACTGAGCATCATTTCCTATAAAAGCAGTTATCATAATCCATATTTCTTAAATATCTACCACTGACTAAAATTCAAATAAACTTTGTTCAAAGTTAATTCACCTAATCAATGCCCAGCTCAACAATGAATTGTACAAATACGTTAAGTCAGCTACTGTAACTCCAAACTATAATAGTAATTAATTGGCCCTTTATAAAAAACATAATAAAAAATGAAGTAATGGTTACAGATGTAGTAAGAATAATGTTGTATGTATTATATCTCTGAGCATAAAGAGAATATGCTAAGAGCCACTCTTTATAACAAGCTACACAAAAAGACAAAAGTGAAGAAGTCTGGAAGATTGTACTTGCTGGTGTGTGATATTTGTTCAGGGCCTCAGGGGCTCATGAACTCTAGCCAGTTCTGGTATATAACTGAGCATGTACCTTGGACCAAAAAAAAAAATCTATTGCCAAGTTTCTTGAAAACTTACTCTATAATCTCTGCTTTCAAGTGTCCCTTTCAATTCATAGCCTAAACCTGCAACTTGCCTTCTTATCCTGCTTTTCTACTTTTTGCTTAAAACCTTGAAGAACACTTAACAGGCTGGGTGCAGTGGCTCACACCTATAATCCCAACACTTTGGTAGGCAAAGTGTTTGTCCAAGGTGGGCAAACTGCTTAAGCTCAGTTCAAAACCAGTGTAGGCAACATGGTGAAACCCTATCTCTACTAAAAATACAAAAAAAATTAGCCAGGTGTGGTGGTGCATGTCTGAGGTCCCAGCTACTTGGGAAGCTGAGGTGTGAGGACTGCTTGAGCCTGGGGGCAAAGGTTGCAGTAAGCTAAGACTGTGCCACTGCACTCCAGCCTAGGCAAAAGAGCAAGACCCTGTCTCAATACAGAAAAAAAAAAAAAAAAATTAATAATATTAAGTGCCCAAATCATATCACTGCTTTCCAGTCCCACCTTATTTGACCCCTCTTCATTATTTGACAACACTAACCTTTCCTCAATTCAGGTAACCCTTTATGACAGTTTTTCTTATACTCCCTATTTTAGGCTTTTTAGCCACTAACCACATCTTAAACGTCAGGAAACTTTTGGTATCTACAGACCACTTAATTCACCAAAGAGATGAAGGACAAATTCTAGTGTTTTTTTTTTTTAATGTTGTCATTATAAAACAATAAAAATATACTAAGAAACAAATGACTTTCTCAACATTGTTTGATGGTATTATTTGCAACTTTCTCAACTTATCTATAGCCAATTTAATGACAGGCAGCCTTACAGAGAATCAGGTTCTGAACCTGCAGTAAATATGGTAGGTTACTGTTCAACATGCATTTCAACCTCCTTCAGTGTATGTCTTCCTGTACTGCAGATAAGAGTAAGTTAAAAAATACATTTTCCAGCCTCTCTTGCAGCTAGAGTTGTAAATGTGATTTAAGTTCCACCAATCAGATGCACTCACTAAATTTTAAGGACAAAAGAGAAGGGAGGTTGAATTTGGGTTGCTTCTACTAGCAAACACTGTCATGGAGATGTTCATGTTCCACAGCAGTATTTGCAGAAGTCCTAGTATTCAGTGATAGGTTTCAAGAATATTAAGAAAGGCAGAAGGTATCCATTCTGCAGTACATGCTGTGGTAGGCAGGGCTAGGCTCTAGGGCCAGAAATAATGACAACAGCTTACTGATGAAGATGGCTGCTTACTAACGACTATTTCCTAATAGGAGCAGACTCCTGATCACGGCAGAGATGGCAAGGTTCTAAGACAGCATCTAAAAGTTATAGTTTCACAATTCTGAAAAAGCCTTTCTGATCCTAAAAGAGGCAATAACTCTCTTGGTGGCCCAGGTGCAACGTGGCTTTTTACAGATCTAGGGTTTGTTTCTTCAATCTTGGCAACAATTTTATAAGCCACTTAAAATCTTTTATTAAATCTCTTTCTGCTTAAACTAGAGTTGATTCCATAGCCTAATTTCAGTTCCTTTTCTAACCTTTGCTTCCAACAAATTAGAAAATCCCACCTCAAATTACTGGTCATCAGAATTGGGTAAATCTGC